CAATCTGCTTCTGCAGAATGATAGTTCATTGGAAATCACCCCTAAATCTACCTAAAACACCGAAGTTGCTTGAAGAAACTCCCTGTAAGGAGATACAACAGGCAATGAATGTGATTGAAGAGGGGGTACCCAAATTACAGACTGGTATCGATCTGGAGTAAGAGAAAAGAGAGGGAGGAAGGTGGCAGGAAAGATTAGTCATCTAAACCAACCTGCCGACAGCCCAATCCCAAGACCAAGTGATTCTTACCAACTCCTTTGTAGAATCCCTAAAAAACTTTTTCAAGGATTTTCCAAAGGCATTTAGGAAGAGCCCACCTGGTAAATTAGGTGCTGTGGGGGGGTTCTGTGGAGTTCAGAAAACCCTGTGATGCTAACAGAGTTTTAAAAAGATCTCCCAAAAGTGAATGCCCAGCAGGCCTGGCAGTCAAAGGGGAAGTACCAGCAACACTTCCGCCTCCATCACAGAACCTGAATGAGATGTTCAAAATTTCCAGGTTTGGGGTTTCTGATGGGGTTTCCCTGAGAAAACCACAAAATTACCAACAGCTGCCAAGAAATGCAAAAGTCTGCATGGTAGCACTAAAGGAGGGAAGCCTACAGAAACTGAGAGACCACAAAGCCAAGAAGCCCAAGGGCAAAGATCTAATTTCTCCATCCAAAACACCACTTTGAATGAACAATAATCACTCATATTTGCATAGAGCTTTATAATTTATAAAACTCTTTCTTCACAACAGCTCAGTGAGAGGCAACTTAATATAACTAAGTAGTTTTATCTCCATTTTACAGATAAAGAATTGGCATCAAGGAAGTGAAGACTTCCTTGCTTAAGGTCACAAACCAAGCAGCAAGCCTAGAACCCACATATTCTAATTCCAAGTCCAGAGCTCTAGCAACTACACCCAGCTGGTGTACAAAAGTCTATTAAGGGTTTCACAAAAGTCTATTAAGATGGAGAGTTTAAGTTTCCCTCAATTATCATCACGTTGTCATCCATGTATAATAATGGAATTTCCCCTCCCTTCAAGGCTCAGATCCCCACCTAATCATTGGTCCTGGGCATAGACAGCAATGACTCAAGTTGCTTCCTGAGTAATAACTGCAAGGGTGAAACTCGGCTTCTTTGGGGAAGCAGGACAGCCCATTCTGTTCTAAGAAAGGCTCTTACTCCATAATTAATGCAGATGCATTACCCCTTAATCTACATCCTTTATTGGAGTCTTCTCTCTGCCCTGGATGCTGGGTATTATTATCCCATTTTACAGGCAGGAGAAACCTACTCACAAACAGGTTCAACATCTCGCTTAGGTTACCAAGCAGAGAGGCAGTGGTATGGCTAAGAATAAAACCTGGGGAATACACAACCCCAATCTTTGGCCCTCTACCTCCTGACCCAGTCACAATTAAGTAGAAATATACTGAACAGTCTTCCTCCTCACACTATACCCACCTCCATTCCCATAGCCCCCTGCACAGACAGAGCCGCCAGTTATTCATGGGGATTACAAGAAATTTCGGTTTCGGAGAAAGAAAAATCAGTTCAAATGAGGGCATAACCCTAAGAACTAAACACTACCCCTACCCTTTCCTGAACTAGACAGAGTATTATTTGGGGCATGGCTTTGGGCTCTTCCTGATTCATAATGTAAACACAATAGGATTTAAAGCCAGAAGGAATCTTAGAGATCATCTATTCTAATCCTCTGGATTTTACAAGAGGAAGCTGAGGCACAGAGATGCAGAGCACTATAATGGAAAGAACAGATTTAGTCAGAAGATTTGGGTTTAAATTTTAGACTTGCCATCCATTTACTACCTGTGAGGCCTTGGGCAGGTCGAAACCTCTTTTGGACTTCAGTCTTTTCATCTGACCTGGGGATTGGCCTAAATGATCTCTGAAGTTCCACCCAGCTCACATCCTACCTAAAAATGACTTATTCTCAACTACAATCTTAGTTATAACTCTAAATCCAGTGTTCCTGAATCCTGGTAAATTCTGCAGATTCCTAGAAATCCAGGACTGTGTGTCCATGGAGAAGGCAGAAGACCTTTACAATGCTTTTACTTGGTTGGTTTACCCCTCTTCCCTCCCAAGGGGCTCAGCATCCTGATGCTGAGCCCAAGAGTGGATGATAGATCAGTACTATACACTACATCTCAGGAAAGGTGTGATGGTGTGATGAAAAGTACACTGGGAGTTAAGAGACCTGGTTTTTTTTTTTTTTTCCATATTCTGACACTTACTGTGTGACCTCAGGCAATTTGCTTCCCTTCTCAGAGCATCAGTGTCTTTCTCTGTAAAAGGAGGCTGCACTACAAGATCTCTAGGGTCCCTTCCAAGCCTAAAGGCCTATCAAACCTGGGGTGTATCGATTAGCATTCTGGCCTCTCAATGAAGCAATCTTAGTTCAAATCTTGGTAAAACTTTAGTTTTCATCCTAGGCAGTGTGGTAAAATGAAAAGAACATTGGCTTTGGAGTCAGAGGACCAGATTGTGGATCCTAGTTCCGCTACTTATTACTTGTATGGCTTTGGGAAAGTCAATTTACCTCTTCAGGCCTGAGTTTCCTCATGTGTATGTGTGTGTGTGTGGGGGGGGGGATGATGATGATTATGAGAGACTAGATGACTTCTGAAGTCCCTTTTAGCTTATAGTTCTATAGGATTTCCAATTTTAGGGGAAGAGAAAAAGGGAAGAAACAATATAAACAAAGCTTAACTCTTGTGCAGAGTGGCACCATCCAGCCTTCTCAATGCCTTTGGGCCCTAGATCTAAGATTATATTAAAAGGACATAGTGCCTGCCACTTAGCACAGTGCCTGGTACACAGTTAAGTGCTTAATAACTGCAAATCAATTGACTGACAGACTGCTTAGTACAGTGTACAGAGTTGGTACTTAATAATTGCTTGTTTCCTTCCCTTCCTTCCTCCCATATAGATCCTATTCTTGGTAACTTATGTACCCTGGAAAGCCTAGGCAGAGCTCTACACAGGCAGGGATCCAGGTGATCCTTCCTTGGCTGCTGACTGGCTACAAATGGCACAACTCATGGGGCAATGTCACAATAGGACAAGGGTCAGAAGGAAATGGTGCACGTTCCCCACCAAGAGTTGCCACAGAGGATATATCTGAGCCAGTGGAATCCTGTCCCTCCTGTAATCAGCTGAACAAATATTTGCCCCAAAAGACAAGCTAAGCAGGAGGGCAAGCTGCACAATCAACAGGAACCATTTAATCATTATCCCCAAAGGAGTTCATTTACAGAGTAGATTTCCAGGGCTGGGTCAGCCAGCCGGGGGAGAGGGTCACAGAGTCACCTAGGCCCCAGTTCAATCTCCTCCCTTTAAAATGGAGGTGGAAACAGGATTATGGAGAAAACAATGGATACCTAAATACTGGCTGGGGGAGGTTTTGGACAGGCTGAATAGAGATGAGTGAGTGATCCCTTTAGCAACTTCAGAAGGCTCAAACTATAGTTCTAAGACTGCCACACCCTGGGCACAGCCTCGGAACAATCACATTCCTCACATTCCAGAGTCCATGGTACAGCTACTCCCTTTCACCTCAGCTCCTTCAATCAATCTCTTATTTTTGAAAATATGCTGGATTTCCTGGGACTCCTGAGAAGTCTGCAAGCTAATGGAATACTTGTACCTGCTCCCAAGCAATGAGAGAAAGGAAGATGGGCTGGGATAGGCCTTTGGCCCCACACACCTCCCCCTCCACAACTTTATGACTTAGTAAAATGTGTGATGTTTAAGTCACCTAACCTGTCTGGGCCTCTCCTTCAACATCTACAAAACTAAAGGATTGTATATGCTCTTTAAGGTCTCTTCTAGCTCAAAAATATAGGACCCTATGCAAAGTTCGGATTTCACTCTTCTTAGGCAATACAGGGATAAGAGGTAGTGAACAAGAGTTGCTTTTTCCTGGGAGAAGCAGAATTAATTGTTGCTTCTGAGTTCTTTGGCCTTGGTCCTAGCCTCAGTAGCAGAGTGCTCTGAGCAGAACCAACAGGACCCTTTCTGAAAGAAGAAAATTGGGGGATGAGGTGGGAGAAAGAGTATGGCAGTTCAGCTGCTGTTTACTAACTAACCTCAGGCAGTGCACAATTTATACAGCATGACACAGCAACAGCTCAGCAAATTGACAGATCATGTGAAAAGTTGCACATAATGAAGAATTACAGAGCAGTGCCAGGCACAACCAGAATCCTGAGGGGCATGGCCCACTTTATCCTAAAAATCTATAGCCATCTTTGAGTCACTGAGTCTCCTGCCTAGCCAGACCCACTCTCCGCTTTAGTCCCATGTCTAAAGGCCCCTTTTCTGCTCTGGTAGGGAAATACAAAGAACAGGGAACGAGGGCTCCCAGAAGTATTCCTACTAGGGGCCAAAGTCTTGGATTTGTATCCTGCATCTGCCATGAATTAGAATGTCACTTTGGTCAAGTGATTTGACTTCAACTTTCTCATCTGTGAGATGATGGAGTTGAAAACTAGATTATTCTGAAAGGATCTTACAGCTCTAAATCCTATAATCAGTCTATGAGAAAAGTACAGGTCAACTATGGGGTTTACTTGTGAAGTAAACAGAACCTTGAGTTTTCAGAGGGAAAAAGCTCACCAAAATAACTTCCCTTGCTTTCCCTGATACTTCCCAGTGCTTGGGACAAAAGGAATGAACCAACTAACTTCAATTGTGAGACAGTGTCCTTCAGGATGAGCACTGGCCTACAGAGGCTCTCAAGATTTTCAAAGCTTAGTCAGCCTATCCATTAAAGGATGGGGCCTGGTTTCTAGACAACTACTCCTTAAGATAAAGACACTAAAAATACAAATGGTGTTTGCCTATTCATTGGTATGTGCTCCTCAATGCCCACAATGTTTACCCAACACAACAGCTTGACTTGTACTACATGTTAGAAAAATTTGGGGATATCTCTAGCCAGAGACTAGGGAGAAGAGAGAAGCAGAAAGGGGTCCCTGGTCCTTACCCAACCGCCATTTTCTTGGATCCAAGGGTCTAGGTGGTCATCCAAGTAAGTGGCCATCCAGGAGGTGATTCGTCCTACCAAGACTTCCATCTCCTTATCCACGCTTTCCACACACAGTGCCCCTCCGAAGGAGAAGAATGCCACAATTCGGCCCCAGTTCACCCCATCCCGAAAGAGTTCATTCACTACCTGCTCAAAGCTCTGATAAGCCGTCCCTGGAGTGATGTGGAGCTGGGATGTCAGGTCACTGAAGGCCCGTCGGTACCGGAGTTCAAATTCATCTCCTGCCTCCCTCAAAGCTTGCTTCACAGCAGCCACTGGTATTGTCTCATGGGCATCCAGGCTGCTGCTGTGTCCTGTGGCCCCACTCACTGCATGGCTGTCAGCAGGGTGCCAAGAGGGGCTACCATTCACAGTACTAGGTATTTCTGTCCCTTCTGGGGCCTCAGTCCTATTCTCATCTTCAAACTGACTCCAACTGTATCCTTTCTGTGAGAGCTTGTAAGAAAGAAAGTCAACCACCAGCTCCCGGTTGCCGTGTGACATTTTTACATCAGGAATGGGCTGATCCAGTTCATTGTCCAAAGCACCTGCTCTCTGGGTCTGGGATCTGTTTGACAATTCTCTTCTGAGATTCAGGGCAAAAATGCTGGTTCTGAACAGAGAGAGAAAGTGAGAGAGAACTTAAGGGGGGGGAAAAACGCAAAGGCCCCATCCACCCTACCGTATCTTATTCACCCTCCCAAGGTTCTAGGTTTTCTTACAGATCTCAGTAATTTTCCATCTATCTTTCAAGAGACCGGGACTGAGTAAGACTGAAAACCCACATCTAGGAACCGATCCTCAGACTGGGCTCTCCACTGATTATCACCTCCTCTCGGAAATGCCCCTTCCACCCGCACCATCCCCCCACCCCAGGAATAACCTTGCATTCAAATCAGCTGTCTGAGCCCGGGTCAGGGAGGCTGGAAGCGCCGGCCCCCTCCCCCCGGGCTGCAGGTTCGGACCCCAGGAGCCGGTGCTCTCACTCCCCCTCCATCGCCCGCACTGAGAGAGGGCAGCGCTCAGCCGCGCTCCCGGCCCCCGGGGCAGAGCCCGGCCCCCTCGCCGATCATGCCCGCCCCTCCGTGCTCCGGCCTACCGGCGGGGCGAGCGGAAAGGCTCCCGGGCCCAGGCCGACTCGCCGGAGGTGTGTGTAGCTGGGGCTGGTGTTTAGTTTGTGGTTTTGTGATGATGTTTTGTGAGCGTCTGTTGTTTTAATTTAATTTAAAGGGCCCAGCCCCGGGGGAGGCTGCTCAATGGCAGCCGGCTTTCCGAGGGTGGGTCCTCAGCGCCGGTGCCTTATCCCTTTTTCCCTTCCCCAAGGCCGGGGAAGCGCCGGTGGGCCCGGAGCCAGCGCGCTTTCCTTCTCCCCGCACCCTGCAAACGTCCTCGAGACCGAGGGGCGCCCCGGGTGGGCTCGGGGCCGGCTCCGATCGCCCCTGGCAGCGTCCGAGCATCATGGCTGCCGGCGCTTCAGACAAAGGAGCCGGAGTCCGGGCCGGGGGGCTTCGGCTGCCCGGGGGCGCCCGGCTTCGACCTGCGTGGGCCCCGCTTCTCCCCAGCTTTTCTTTCGCGGGGGTCCCGGCCGGGATCCCGGGACTCCTTCCCCAGCCCTCGGCTCCACAGCGCCGCCCGCCGGGGAGGTGCGGCCGGGCCCAGCCCGAGCCACCCACGTTGCCGGGCAACCGCCTTCCTTTCCTCCTGGAGCCCCCCGGACCTCAGCACAGACTGGAGGGAGGGGGAGGAGGGGGCGTCCCGCCCCCCCGATCTCCCGGCGGCTCCGCCCCCCGACGGCCAATCAGAGAGGTGGTCAGGGCAGGGGGCGGGACACGAAGGCCTCCATGCCGCCCTCCGATTGGGCGCGGTGCCCGTCACGCACCCCCCCCCCGGGCGGCGCGCTCACCTGCGAGCCCCACGAGTAAAGGGGGGGCGACATCCCCTCCCCCGCCTGCGTTGTCCCAACAGCCGAAGGGCTCTTGTCGGCCGATCTCCCGGCAGCGAGCTGAGAGCAGGTGGCCTGCGCGCTTCCCTGTCGACTGCCTACCTGACTGGCCTTCTCTCCCAGAGTTTGATTCCAGGCGGACCCGGCCTCAGTTTCCCTCGAAAGAGGCCGGGGGAACTTGCGAGCTCAGCCACTTCCGGTGCCTTGGCAGCGCGCGCGTGCCCGAGACGTAGATGGGAGCGCGCACTCCGAGGCCGCCCCCCCAACCATGGAAAGGAGGGAGAGAGAGAGACAGAGAGAGGGAGAGAGGGAGAGAGAGGGAGAGAGGGAGAGAGAGGGAGAGGGAGAGCTCCCCTTGCGGGCCATGTGGAGTAGTGACCAAATATCTCTTTGCATTGGGCTAACTTCTCATTCATTAACTCCATTCATTCATGATTGGTGGCCTGGAAGGGACCTTAGAGGTCACAATTCATTTCACTAACACTTAAAAGTTTTTTGTTCTTTATTTCAATAAAATTCAATAAATATTAAGCGCCTACTATGTGCCATGCACTTTGATAAGTGCTGGGATTTGTTTGCACTCCTATTTTAACATTGGCACTATGGCTTATTTATAGCTTAATTTTTCAAATATTTCTCTTCAATGTGAGATGAATGAAGACCTGGTCTAGACTTGAGTAGAAAGAGATCCCACAGATCTACATTGGGAAAACTGCAGTATTCTCAATGTTGCCAAGATGCCACAGCTGCAAAAGACCACCTTCCTAGCAGCAACATTCTTCCATTTATAATGTATGACTTTGTATATACATGACCAGGGATGTGGCCAATCACAGTGAGTGCAAGGGCAAACTAACAGATCCAAGTATTTCACTGGTATACACAAAATATTAACAGAACTCCTTGGGTCTCTTAATCTAGCATATTGACTTCTTCCATGAATTTGAAAAAAAATCATACCCAATGAAGCATGTATAGATTGGAATCTGCACCAACAGAGGGGACACACAAACCAATGAGATCCATCAAAATATCACTGGCCTACATAGACGTAGATATATGGATAGATAGATGTATATATACTTTTGTTGTTGAGTCATTTCAGTTGTGTCCAATTCTTCATGACCCTTTTGGGGTTTTGTCAGCAGAGATACTGGAGTGGTTTGCCATTTCCTTCTCCAGCTCATTTTACAGATGAGGAACTGAAGCAAACAGGGTTAAGTGACTTGCCCAGGGTCATACAGCTAGTAAGTGTCTGAGGTCATATTTGAACTCGGGTCTTCCTGATTCCGGGCCTGGAACTCTATTGACTGCACTACCTAGCTGCCCCACAGTTACTTAACTACTCTCAGCCTTAGTTTCCTAATTTGTAAAATGGGGGGGGTGTAGATTGCTTTGCAAACCTTAAAGCACTATACAAAGGTCAGCTATTATTATTCCCCCTCCATGAACCTTCTCTTATAATAAAGAAAAACAGTTAAGTAAAATCAACCAACAAAACTACCACATCTGAAAATATATTAAACATTTATCATTCACAGGCTCACACTTTTCTATTGAAAGGAGGGAAATATATTTCAAAATCCAGGAGCAAAATTGTTCTGACTTTGCCTACCTCAACTCAAATATGAAGGGGGCCTGACCTCTCTCTGCCCACTCCAATCCATCCTCCATCTAGCCACTAAAGTGATGTTCTAAAAGCACAGGTCTGATCATGTCAGCTCCCCTGCTCAGTAAATTCTAGCAGCTCCCTATCACCTTTGGGATCAAATACAAAATTCCTTGTTTGATGTTCAAAACCCTTCATAACCTAGTTGTTCTCCCACTACCCCCAGCCCTCAATTTTTCTGGTCTTTTTCCCCCAGATATTCTTCAATCCAGTGATAGTGGCCTCCTGGCTGTTCTAAGAACAAAACACTTGTCTCTGGCATTTTCTCTGCCTGTCTCCCAGGCCCAGAACAACTAACTAGCGCCTACTAGCTTCCCTGGCTTCCTTTAAGTCCCAATTAAAATTCCATCTTTTACTGGAAGCCTTCCCCAAGCACTCTTAATTCTAGTGCCTTCTCTCTGTTAATTATTTCCTATTTATCCTGTATATATTTATTTGTATGTTGTCCCTCCCATTAGACTGTAAGTTCCTTGAGAGCAGGGACTCTTTTGCCTCTTCTTATATTAGCATAGTGCTTGGCAAAGAGTAGGCACTTAATAAATGTTGGTTGACTGATTGATTAATTTCTTTCTGTCTTTGACCACTCTGGAACACATGCCTAATAGTAGTACCATTGGGTCAAAGGGCATGAAAAATTTAGTTATTTTTGTCACATAATTCCAAATTGTTTTCCAGAACTTTTGGACCAATTTACAACTCTCCCTCCTCCTATTCAATTAAATAAGCAAGCATTTATTAAATACCTATTATTGACAGGATGAAAAGACAAAAATAAAACAGTCCTTGCCATCAAAGAACTTACATTCTATTGATCATCATTGTATCTGTCTTCCCACAACCCCAATAACATTATTTCTATATTTTATCATCTTAACAATTGTGATGGGTAGAATTTGAGGTAGAACCTCAGAATTATTTTAATTAATGCTTATTGTTAATGATTTGGAATGCTTTTAATGGTTATCTACAGCTTCTAATTCTTTTCAAAATTTCATATTCTTTGACCACTTCTCTATTGGGGAATGGTTCTTATTGTTTCATATTTCTTTTTTTTTTTTCTTTTTGGCTAGGCAATGGGGTTAAGTGACTTGCCCAGGGTCACCCAGCTAGTAAGTGTTATGTGTCTGAGGTCGGATTTCAACTCAGGTCCTCCTGAATCCAGCGCCGGCGCTCTATCCACTGCGCCACCTAGCTGCCTCTATTGTTTCATATTTTTTGGACAAATCTTGGATAACAGGTTTTTAATCAGAGGCTTGATACAACATTTAACAGTTTTACTATAACTTTATTGATTTAGTGCAACAGTTTTTTGATTTTCTATCATTTGAAATTGTCTATTTTGTCTTTTGTGATCTTTACCCTTTCCTTGGTTATAAACTTTTCCCCTAACTATAGCTGTGAAAAAGTATCACCTTATGCTCTCCAACTTTTTCATGACATAACTTTTTTATATTTAATTTGTTTATCCATTTGGAGTTTTGTTATGTAATACATATGTCTATGGAACATATGCTATAAGATGTTGATCTAAACCAATTTTTTGCTAAACTATTTTCCAGGGTTTTTTTTTTTCTTTAAAAGTAATTTTACTCATATATTGTGTTTTTACATTGCCTAAATTTTCCCAAGTACCTTACTCCTCACCCACCAAGCTGTCACATATAGCATGGAATGCTTTCTAGGATTTTTTTTTCAGTATTTTTTGTCAGATAGGGCATCCTTCTCCAAGTACTTTGCATTTAGGGTTTTATCAAACAGTGGTCTACTGTATTAAATCGCTTCTGGATCTTGCTGGTCTAATCTTTTCTCTCTATCTGCCTCCATCACTCAGCAACTACTTTTCCTTTGACGTTCACTCTATCCAAATTTATCACTCAATCCAGATCCCAGTGTCAGTTATCTACTGGCCTCTCAGGTCATGCTTCCTCCTTGCTCAAAGAGTTCAGTATCTAGTTCACATTCTTCCTCTCCATGCAACTCTTGACTTTATAGTAGATAGAGTGCTTTAACATACATATTTATGGTTCTTCAAACACACCTTAGCTTTCCCATTTCCCAATCTCTTCAACTTTTGTGACTGCTCCTTCCCTCCACCTCTGTCACACACAGGGACAATGACCCCTTTGATCTCACCAATTCCCACAAGATTACATATTAAGTAAGTAACTAATTAAGATTACATATTAATTACATATTACATATTCCAATATTAAGAATTCCTGAAATTCCTTTATCCAACCACAATCACCATCATTTCATCTCTTCCAATGCCTTATTTTTCCTAAATCTGTTCTTCATCCTCATCTTGACCTCCAGTGCCTCCACCTCTGACTGTTCTCCCAGGCTATCACCCCTACTCTGGTTTCACCTTCCCTCCATTCTGGATCTTGACCCTGTAGCTAACCAATTCAGCATTGTACTTCCATCTGTTCTTGAATCCCTTGCCCCTTTGTACTATTACTACTCATGCTTTGTCAAACTCCAATTATGTAAACTCATACCATCTGCCTCTTCCATTCACATGTGCTGTTGAACAGAGTTCAGCAATCAATGAGAAATCAATAAACAACCCTTTCTTAAGTCCCTATTATGTGCTAAGCACTGTACTAAATGATTGGGATCCAAATACAAAGAATGTGAAAAACCATACTATCAACACCTGGGAAAACACTCTTGGCTCAGTTCCTACATAAAATTGGTCCCACCAAGTTCATTTCCAAATGAGCCTGA